TATCATCATCCTCAATACACACGTGGGATTTGAAAGATTCAAGATCCTGCAATAAAGATAACAATTGGCTTTCTAGCTCTTCCTTTCTCCTTATTACCTCCTCAATACGCTCTTCACTCATATTCATCATCTCCAATTGACTTCTCATAGAATTTAAAAACAACTCCTTACTTGGCCCAAAAGTAGAATCAAGCTCAACACACCTAATAAGGGATTCTAAATAATTAATCGGAGATTCATTAGATGAAGAAAATTGAGGGTTAACAAGGGGAGAAGGATCACAACCAAGATTGTAAGCATCAACATTAGAAGGATGAGTATAATCATCATCATGGGGAGAGGGGGCACAATCAAGCATATAAGATTCATTATTGGAAGAAAAAGGTACATCACAAGAAGGCATGCTAAATAAAGAAGAATATTGAAACACACCATGCTCATCAACATTGGAATGCACCTCATCATCATGAACAATAGGGGAAATAGAGTTGAAATAATTTGTTCTAGGTTCACTAATGGGATCATGTGACAAATCATGGGAATTTATGCTAACATTAGAAGAATTGACACATTGCACATCAATATTAGAAACATGATTACCCCTATTATAAACATCCCTAGCAAACCATACATAAAAATCCCAAGAATCATCAATTGATAATGCTCTAAATTCACCATTATACATGCTTTCAACAATATCCCTAGTTTGCTCATTCAAACCAAAATAACAAATCACACAAGCCTCCCAAAGACTACAATAATTATGATCTACAAATCCCTCAAGTCTATTGAAATAGTCACAAAAAGGCTCATTATCATATTGAGGAAATGAGAAACATGCCATTTTTTTATTTTTTATTTTTTTTAACAAAAACAATCAAACAAACAAAAAAATAATAAATTAAAAAATAAAAATAAAAACAAAATTATACACAAAGACCTAGACTCAAGCAATCAAAAACAATCAAGCATTGACACCGTTCCCCGACAACGGCGCCATTTTGACAAGCGCTAAATCGGTCGCACAATCTAGGCTAGGTCAAACACATTTATAACAAACACCTCACTCAAACAAGTACAATGGCAAGCAAGGGTTCGGTCCACGGAGAACGGGAATCAATTGCTAAATAATCTTAACGCTCAAGCTAAATCGAAGTCAAGGTATAAGTGGTGATTAACTAACAAACTACAACTAAGGATTGAATTCAAGGAATTAAAACACTAGGGGAATGGGATTCACTCAACCAATAGCAATTATACAAATAGGGAGGAGCAAGGATAATGGAGTAGCAAAGACCACATGCAAGACCAACTTCAAACGATATGAAAACAACTCAAATCACTAAGCTTAGATCCCTCATTAACTTAGCAACAAAAGATACATAATCATATTGTAATAGGTAATGAAACAATCAACTCACATTTCCATGTCGAACCAAACATTTCATGCCATCAAGTTCGATAATCTAGGTTAATTACTCCTATCATGAAGAACTAATAAGCAATCCCATATAATCCATTTTAATCACGATCCATCATCAAAATCACTCCCAAACTCACATAATCACCATTAGGCTGGGTTTCACCCAACCCCTAGCTAAGGAACTACTCACACATCATATTGAAAAGCACAAAATCAAAATCTAGGGTTCTATCTTGCTCAACAAACTTGGAATAGTATCTTACTAAAAAAAGAACTAACATTCAACAACAATCATCAAAGAACTAAAAAGGATTCAAATAACAAGGTATAGCATGATAAATAAGAAAACAAGTAAAGTAGAAGAGAAAAGTTACTAAAATGAAGCTTCAAAATCTTGATTACAAATGTTACCAAATCTTGGTAATAATCTTGAATACTAGTACAAAAATGTCAAAGTTGATGAAATCTAAGCTAAAATTTTAAGAAAATTGTTTAAGACCCAACAAGGGGTGATATTACAAGCCTTTTCTCTCTCTAAAATCTGTCTCTCCTCATAAGTGAGGCAATTAATCTATTTATAATAGTCCAAAACAAAGGGGGCGGAGAGAACAAGAAACTGCTCTGAAATAGATCGGCACGGGCGTGCCAAACACTGCACGGCCGTGCAGCAGGGTCAGAAGAGCTGAAAACTGGAGCAGGGGCCTGGCACGGGCGTGCCAGTTTGTGGCATGGGCGTGCATCCAGGGCAGAAGCTTCGACGTTATTAGCAGCTAACTTGCACGGTCAAGCCAATACCTTACATGGTCATGCAGCTTCCAGCACGGGCGTGCCAATCTCTGCACGCCCGTGCATCCTTCTCAGAGGGCTTTGCCAATATTCAAACTCCCTTGCACGGCCGTGCCAAGCATCATGCATGGTCGTGCAGCTTCCAGGAGGTCTTCAAATGAAATTCAAGCTTAGCCAAGGATACCTCAAGGCCATGGCTTCTATCCTAACCATCGGGATGTCCCGTAGGGGTCCAACCATCCCTAAAAGTGCATCAAAACACTAACAAAACCCGTGAAGCATGACAAATATGATGAAAGTGCGGAAACAGAGCGATAAGTGAGCAAAATAGCTAGAATATGGCAATAAGTGAGCACTAAATCACCCTAAAACCGCGCACTAAAGCACGTTGTCACTCACCTATAGGGAGATGCCTTATCGAGTTCAACTCAAGTGATTTTTCCCAAACCCAAAACTTGGGTATTTATGGGGAAAGGAGACTTGATCTTCCTTCTCCCATCAATGTGGGAGAATTGCATTTTTCCACCAATTTATTTTAATAAAAAAATAATTAAAATACAAAGCAATCAACAAGCTCCAAGTGTCACATGGAGAGCATGGGTTGGTGAGGACCACCAAAGAGGGGACCAAAACACCTTTCTTCCCAAGCCAAACACCAAGCAATTGGTCCTCTCCCTTGACCCGGTTGACCACGCCACATGGCTGGCTGGTAGCCTGCCTTGGCTGCCAAGGCTGCCAGCTAGCACCTAGCACCAAGGCTGGGAAGCGCAGCCAGCCAGCTAGCACACGCATGCGTGCAGCAAGCAGGCCACGCATGTGTTGCTGCGATGCTGTTTCTTGGTGCGTGTTGCTGTGCTGCCTAGCGCTGCGAGGTGCGTGAGGCTGCGATGCGAGTGCTATGCAATGCCAAGCACGCAAGTACGCATAGCCCCACAGCACAAGCACGCAAAGCGCGCTGCTAGCGAGGCCCAGCACTTGCGTGTTGCTGGCCTTGCGATGCTGCGACTGGGCTGCTATGTGCGAGGCACTAGCATGCTAGCACGCCTAGCGCGCCAGCGATGCTAGCAAGCTTGGTATGGTGCGTGGCCTAAGCTAACCTAGCATTCGCATGGCTAGGCCAATGCGAGGCTACGGCTTAACTCGTACTTGTCGCTTGTTGATTTTTCTCGTCTTGTCGAATTCCAATTCGACTCGACTTACGACGCTCGATTTCGACACTCTAAGCTCGATATCCGACGTCTTTGTTCGTAATACTCTAATGACTCATCTAATCCTTCGGATTGATTCGTTGCCTCGGATCGGTTACTCGATTGAGGTGTGACCCGAAGGGTTTAGTCAAGATTAAGCTGTAATATTAATTATACATTAATATTACTCATCGGAAGCGGCCTCCACCTAGGCATTCCGATCACTTGACCTTACTGAAGAATTAGCTTTCTAATAACTCTGAACCCTTTATTGGAATAATACACTTGTTGGAAGGACACCATTCCTTTCAATAAACGGTTATAATGAAGTTTGATACCTATCATTTTAAGATAAATTTTGATAGTATTTATGATAAGAAATACAAATTGTTCGCTAATTATAATTAAATTAAAATTGTGATACCTACCATTATAAATTGACACATCATACGACACAAACAAAAATTTCGTATCAATAAAAAACTCCATCAAGCGAATTTTGTGTTAGTAATTTTGTGTTAATTTTTGGTCATCAATGACCAGGTAATATTTAGCTTAATTTTTAAAATCCTATATTTAAATTAGTATTTCTAATTATTACTTACACTGTATTAATTTGGGATACTCAACGATTATATGTTTATGTTTTATTTACTAAATGTTTTTTTATATGCAGATCTAACACATCGTACGACACAAATAAAATTTCGTATAAATAAAAAACCCCATCAAACGAATTTTGTGTTAGTAATTTTGTGTTAGTTTTAGGTTATCAATGTCCGGATAATTTTTAAAATCTTATGTTTAAATTTATATTTGTAATTATTAGTTACATTATTTATTTAGAATACTTAACGATTTTTTGTTTATGTAATGGCATACGATTAGATGTTGTATACTTAATATATTGATGTCTTTGGTTATTTTTGGAGATGATGAAAAAATTCAAATGTATAGATTTGATTTTATATCGCAACATTTTTTCATTTATTGGTAAATATATTGATTTATTTAATATAAATGTAAAGATTTAATTTATATCAATTTCAGTTTGGCTAACATTTCACAATTCAATTTATCCATTGATGTAGTAGGTTGGTTGTGGACGAGGTTGGTGATTCTATCGAAATAAAAGATATGGTAAAACAATGAATAATGATTTAGGATTTAAATTATTAAAAATTTATCATTTCACATTAAATATTTTATATAATGGAAAAAATATCATATTTACACTTTATTTATATTTAATAAATTCATTATAAATTATAGTAAAAAAAATAAATATTAAACTTTTGTAATTTTGTCTGAAATTATTAAACACAAAAATCAAATAATTAAAAATCTTAGATGAAAAAATCGTGCATCGCACGGACTTCCATCTAGTATATTCATAAAATAGACCACCGAACAACAATTACAATTGTCAACGGAAAAAAGTTGAAGAATAAAACAGCATTATACATCACTTAGGTTAGGGTTCGTCATTTTTATTTTAATCACTCCGTTTTCCGCATTATAAATATACTTTTGTATTTTTGAGGGGTTAATTAATTGAAAAGTAAGAAACTTTTTAATAATCTTAAGGTCACAGGAAAAAAAAAAAAACCTTCTTGCGTGACACGAAAGCGGCTCAATTTAGCACCCACCTGCTTACGCTGCACCGTACCACTGCCATATAAACTTTCTCGAACCTTCCGTCTATCTCTCATTTCTGACTTCATCAGTTTTCATAACTCTCAACACATCCACACTATCTCTGTAAGTTCCATAGATCTAATCTCATTTCGTGTTCTGATTGATTGTTTGTCTGTTTTTCTGGTTTTTTTTTTATTTATTTTTTTTATCTCGAATAATTTGTTTATTGATTAGATTTTGGATAAAAATGGCGACGAAAAGAAGTGTATCAACCCTTAAAGAGGCAGATTTGAAGGGAAAGAGAGTATTTGTTCGTGTTGATTTAAATGTTCCATTAGATGATAATTCTAAGATCACTGATGATACAAGGATTCGTGCTGCTATTCCCACCATTAAATACTTGTCTGGTTATGGCGCTAAGGTCATTCTTTGCAGTCATCTGGTATATTTATTCTCTCTATTTTCATTTTTTTCAAGTATTTTTTAGTTGGTTTGCTGTTTGATGTTATTTTTAATCTGGGTTTCCTTTGTTTTGTATTAGTATGTGTTCTTCTCCCTTAGAAGTTGTTTTGCTATTTGATGTTATTTTGCATCTGGGTTTCCTTTGTTTTGTATTTGTTTTTAAAATTTATAATATAGGTCTAAAATCAGTATTTTGTTTTTGAAAAAAATATAAATATAATCTGGAAATGATAGCCAATGATCCCTTAGATTTGATGATGTATTTCTGTTTTGATGTAATTCTGGGGTTTGTTGATTGTATAGTGTAACAGTGTATGTTGTTTTTAAGGTAGTAATATGATTTTTGATTTTTCCAACTGAGTTACTTTGTAACTAAAGGGAGCAAATGGGTAATTCAATTTGGGTTGTCAGGTGAGAAGCCATTTGGTTCAGGGTTTGGGTTGTGTCAGGCCACTTTTAGGACTTTTAAGGAATGTAATACGAAGTATATGGGAACATAAGTAATATTGATGTGTGTATTAGAACAAATGTAATTCTGGGGTTTGTTGATTGTATAGTGTAACAATGTATGTTGTTTTTAAGATAGTAATATGATTTTTGATTTTTTCAACTGGGTTACTTTGTAACTAAAGGGAGCAAATGGGTAACTCAATTTGGGTTGGCAGGTGAGAAGCCATTTGGTTCAGGGTTTGGGTTGTGTCGGGTCACTTTTAGGACTTTTAAGGAATGTAATACGAAGTATATGGGAACAAAAGTTACATTGATTTGTGTATAGGTTCCCTTCTTAACCAGCAAGACAGTGTAAAAAGAGAAGTTCGGGAATATCAACTGTGAATAACATTTTCGAAAAATTTATAATTGTCAATTGTCAGCTGCCTTGAAAATTTCTTGCATTTGGCCTACATCTAATCAAGAACAAATTGAAACAGTATAAACCTGACCGGAATGAAGTTTTATAATTATTTTATTGCTTTAGTGAGATTTGATACTGGAGTTGTATGTATCAATACACGTACCTTTTTATGTTCTATTTGCTTCATACTAGTTCAATGATTAACAAAGTTACGATGTTATATGGCTTTCTAACTTCCTTGTTGTATAAATTGCACTTGTGCTTGGTGATGTTCATTCAGAGATTTATTTGTGCAAAAGGTGTGCTTCCTGATAAGTAGAATTTCCATTGCACGCTAGGGAATACAAGCTTACTATTGCATCTTAGGCACAATGGATATTAATATAGTATTAAAGTAGTGCCTGGACAATAGAATGCACATGTATGTGGATTTACTATATTGCGGCTGTTATATTGCTTATTATGCTGTTGCTTATCACTTTGGTTGCCTTTCTGTTTCCAGGGACGTCCAAAAGGTGTTACACCTAAGTACAGCTTGAAGCCCCTTGTCCCAAGGCTTTCTGAGCTTCTTGGAGCTGAGGTATGATTTTCTGTTGATCTCTAAAGATTATGGATATTCCTCCCGTAACAAAAAAGTTGAATTCAGGAAGGTGTCTGATTATATCACTGACACTTTCCATTCTCACTTCATCTTCATCTGTAATTTGGTATAGGTTAAAATGGCAAATGATTCCGTTGGCGAGGAAGTCGAGAAATTGGTGGCTGAGTTGCCTGAAGGAGGTGTTCTGCTTCTTGAGAATGTGAGATTCTATAAAGAGGAAGAGAAGAATGATCCTGAGTTCGCAAAGAAATTGGCTGCCCTAGCAGATGTCTATGTGAATGATGCTTTCGGTACCGCCCACAGGGCTCATGCTTCTACTGAAGGTGTTGCCAAGTATTTAAAGCCTTCTGTTGCAGGCTTTTTGATGCAAAAGGTACTTGTTTCATTACTATGGCAATAAGTAGAGTGATTGTGCTGATAGTGTATCAACCACTATTTTGGTCTTTGTTGTTGCTGATAGTGTTTGTTGATGCTAACTATTGGCCTTATGTTTGATCACTCGAGTCAATGCCCATTCATTTCACTCATAAAATGTTTACTGTTCATACTTTACAGCCTCATCCTTTTTGGTGTTACATGCTCTTTACTGTTGATTTTAAAAAGTCCAATACTTGTCATATGAGGATGCTTAGATGTGCATCTGGCGTGTATCTGTATGTGATAAATTACGCTGGAGCCATGCTAACTACTTTAGAAAAAAAAATATTCATACCTGATTGCGCTCAGTCAGGTTTTTAGTCTAGGTAGTACCTGAGATGGATTACATTGGTAAGGTCTAGAACAAAATGTAAAGCGTTGAATTGAATTTACCAATAGGATTTATGAAATAAAAAAAAAAGAAAGAAAAGAAAACGGGTTGAATATACTGCCAGTTTCATATAACTGCATGCTAAATTAAGGTCAATGCAAGTAGATCAGCAATATAACGAAGAAACAAGCCATCCTCTTCCAAGCTTATCGAAGGCTTGTAATTTTTTGTTCACGTGTTTATGCAAGTGCTGTTTGGTTTCTCTATTTTTCTTTTTCAAAAAAGCCGTTTGTTGATTGGTACCATTGTGCTGCATAATTTCTTGCCTGCATTAGGAGAGCTTGAACTAGAAGGAAGTCTTACCTAAAGGATATTTTTGTTAATTGCTTTTGTGTTTATTGATTGTAGGAACTTGACTACCTAGTTGGAGCTGTGGCAAACCCCAAGAAACCTTTTGCTGCTATTGTTGGTGGCTCGAAGGTGTCAACCAAGATTGGTGTCATTGAGTCATTGTTGGCTAAGGTGGACTATCTTTTACTTGGAGGAGGGATGATATTCACTTTTTACAAAGCCCAAGGACTCCCGGTTGGATCCTCTTTGGTAGAGGAAGACAAGCTTGAACTTGCAAACCTTCTCATGGAGAAGGCAAAAGCAAAAGGAGTGTCCCTGATGCTGCCTACCGATGTTGTAATTGCTAACAAGTTTGCTGCTGATGCTGATAGCAAGGTTCGTACATGTGACTATTTTTGCTTATGTGATATCCTCTCATTGTATTTGTAGTAGTGGTATGACCGTATGGCATTGATGTGGTCTCATGATTGTACTGTTTTATAGGTTGTACCTGCCTCTGCTATTCCTGATGGTTGGATGGGATTGGACATTGGACCAGATTCTATCAACACTTTCAGCGAGGCTTTAGATAAAACCCAAACCATCATATGGAATGGACCTATGGGTGTTTTTGAATTTGAGAAATTCGCTGCTGGGACTGAGGTAAAATGATCTTTATAAGTTGTCTTGATTCTTAACCATATTGAACCATAATTTTCTCCTGTTGTATTGGTTAATTGTTAAAAGCCTGTCCTACATCAGTTTTTATTCTTGAAAGCTATTATGAAATGATGGATATGGTGTGATTAAAACGAGTCTTGACATTTTTATCTGTAGGCCATAGCAAGGCAGTTGGCCGAGCTTAGTGGAAAGGGCGTAACCACAATCATTGGCGGAGGTGACTCTGTTGCTGCTGTGGAGAAGGTTGGTCTTGCAGACAAGATGAGCCACATCTCTACAGGAGGCGGTGCCAGCTTGGAGCTTTTGGAAGGCAAACCACTGCCTGGAGTTCTTGCCCTTGATGATGCTTAAGTGCCTTTTTTTTGTTTTTGTTTAAATCTTGCCTTGTGGTCTTTTGCCCAAAGTTTATGAACAACTGGTTTTGCCAGTGTTGCTACTTTTAGGAGTGTGGACCTGTTGTGGTATTAGTGCAGGTCTGAAAATAAATCATTTTTGAACTTTTGTAACGGAAGTATATGGACTGATGTGCATGGTAGTGTCTTGGATTTGAAACAGTCGTTAATAATTTAAGTTGTTCAAGTTCACGCTTGCTGTTCTTGTGGGAAATACTCCGTATCAAATTATCATGCATCACTTGAATTTTTTTCCTTTTTGGCTCAAGTTGAGGCTCCTTTTTGTAAGGTTAATCAGACGGTCTGCTTTGGTGTAATTTGCGTGACAAAATTTAATACCAAGTCAGTGTCGTTTGACAAATCAAATGTGATGTACATTTTTTTTTTTTTTTATTTATATTTATTTACTAGTTTTGTGCTTGGACGATGTGTAGGGTTATTAATAAAATTGTAGGATAAATTTTTTGGCTTGAATGTTAAATACGATTTTATAATTCTTTTGATGATGCATGATATTTCGACATACGATAAATATCATACCACTTATTTGTGTACTTTTGTAGTTTTGTTTGAAAATGGATATTTATGTTATTAATTGACTTGTGTTACAAAATATAATAAATGTGTATGCCAATATTATGATTCTCCTTGTAACCCCCATATGCCTTTACTCTACATTGTAACTCCCATGAATGGACTCTTTATAGTCCATATACATTGTAACTCCCACTAGTCCATATACATTAGTCCATATACATTGTAACTCCCACTTGATGACATGAATGGACTCTTTATGGTCCATATAGGTTACATATTCTCATCATGTATATATGTAGGATGGTCTAATGAAATGGTATGATCAACACAATTACTTTCTACATCCTCTCTAATATTCTCCCTTTCCTTTTATTTTATAACACGTTATCAGCACCATTGCTTTAGCTATCGAAAATCGAAAGAAATCATAGTCAAATAATATAACAGAGGAACATAATCATCTATGTAAGGTTTTTATTTTATGATTTTATTTTTTTTACATAGATTGATTCACGTACACACAAATTTATTCACGTTATGAACTAGAGTTTTTGAAAAAAATTGTACGTTATGCCAGTTTACTTTATGTTATGCTCCCTCTGCTTACTTCATCCCTCCATCATGCAATTAGCTTTCTGGGTCCTATGTTATGACAGTTTACTTTAGGGGCTATGGGCTTGTGCATTTAATTAAATCCCTACTTCAGGAAGTCTTCCTCCCTTTTCCATAGCACTGTAGTGATGTCTAATGTATTACACCATTACTAATTTCATAATTTCATACAACTATGTTGCACAGTATGGTCATTCACGTACGCACACACATTGAAGGATCATGCATACGTAATATCTTCCCTAATTTTGATATCATATGATATAATGTTAATCGATAAGTAATATAGGTCTCTTTTTTATTATTAAACTCTTACATATTGTTATGTCAGACTTATATTTGAAATTTCCCAACTTAGTAATTTCTATTTGTTGTGAGTGCACTAGTAATTTCTATTTTCTACTATATTTTATCATGATTGCTACTGATATAATTTATCTTGTAATATTATTTTGTATAGTGAAAAATGTTGAACCTTGCCAAGCTTGAATTTGTGGCCCTTGATATTACCGGAAAGAATTATTTATCATGGGTGTTAGATGCTGAAATACACCTAGATGCTAAAGGGCTTGGTGAAACAATCAAAGAGCCTAATAAGGCAACATCTTAAGATAAGGCTAAAGCCATGATATTCCTTCGCCATCATCTACATGAAGGGCTCAAAAATGAATATTTAACTATGAAAGACCCACAAATTCTTTGGAGTAATCTAAAGGAAAGATATGACCACCAAAAAACAATGATACTCCCTAAAGCTCGTTATGATTGGTTGAATTTGAGATTGCAAGATTTTAAATCTATTAGTGAATATAACTTAGCTATGTTCAAGATAACTTCCAAATTGAAATTATGTGGAGAAAATATTACTGATTTAGAAATGCTTGAAAAGACATACTCCACTTTTCATGCAAACAATGTTGTCCTGCAGACACAATATAGAGAGAAAGGATTTACCAAATATTCTGAATTAATATCTTGCCTTCTTGTGGCTGAGAAAAATAACGAGCTATTAATGAAAAATCATGAATTACGTCCTGTTGGCTCTACTCCATTCCCTGAAGCGAATGTGACAACCCATCACGGGAAAGAAACTATCAACAGAGACCATTCCAGCAGTAGTGGTCGAGGTAGAGGTCGCGATCGCGGTCGTGGTCGTGGGCATGGATATGGTAGAGGTCGTGGAGGTCACTTTAAAAACTCACATTCTCACCAGAAGTGGGAACGTAGGGATGATAAAGTTAATAAAGAGAGAAGTGAGACTGATATATGTTACCGTTGTGGAGTGAAAGGACATTGGTCTCGGGTTTGTAGAACTCCAAAGCATCTTGTTGAACTTTACCAAGAATCATTGAAAAAATGAAAGAAATTTGAGGCAAACCTTGTTCTTGAAGATGGTAATGATGATTTTGATTATGGCAATACAACTCATCTAGAAGTTGCTGATTTCTTCACTTCCCCGGAAGGGAATACTTTTGATTTTGGCAATACAACTCATCTAGAAGTTGCTGATTTCTTCACTACTCCAGAAGGGAATAATTAAAATTATATCTATTTGTATGAATTTTGAGTAATAGACTCAATCTAGTGATTTACTTATGTTAATTTCTATGATTGTAATAAGGACATTATATGCTTTGTAAATTTATAAACTATTTGGGTGTTTTAATTGATTTATTATTTTATTATCATTAATTTTATGCTTAATTTTCTACATGTATTTTACTTCGTGGAGAACATGGATACTACTCAAGTTCAATTTACTATGAATGGTGAAGAACTATGTCTTGCCGACAGTGCAACTACTCATACAATATTTAAAAATAAAAAATATTTTTCTCATTTGATGATGAAAAGAATTAATGTGAGTACCATATCGGGTAGTACAAATATCATTGAAGGCTCCGGAAGAGCCAACATAAAATTTCCTTGGGGAACTAAAATTAAAATAATTGATGCATTATACTCCCCATTGTCTCAAAGAAATTTATTAAGGATATTCGCAATAATGGTTATCATATTGAGACAGTAAGTGAAGAAAATAATGAATTTCTTCAAATCACGACTGTAACTCAAGGCACAATACATGTTTTGGAGAAACTACCTACATTCTCCATTGGTTTGTACTACACAAAAATCAATATTATTGAATCTCATGCTATATTAAACCTGAAGTTTACTGATAACTTTGTTGTTTGGCATGACCGGTTAGGCCATCCCGGTTCCAAAGATAAGAATCCTCGGAAAATAATAGGAAAGTGACTGATGATGGTCAAATTGAAGAAATTTTTTTCGAAGGACCTCCAGAAGAGACTTTAGACATGATACAAGAAGAAATTAAGGTACCTGAAAATGAAGAAATTTCAATAAATTACATCATGTCTGGAATTACATGGAACCGAAATCAAATCGACGACAATGATGTTTTTGCTTACAACATAGCATTAAATGTTTTGGTTAATAATGAGGATCATGAAACAAAATCCATTGACGAATGTAAACAAAGAAATGATTGGCCAAAATGGAAAGATGCAATTGAAGCGGAATTAAAATCTCTAGGAAAAAGAGAAGTATTCGGACCTGTAGTCCGTACACCTGGAGGTGTAAAACCAGTGGGATATAAATGGGTCTTTGTGCGAAAGAGAAATGAAAAGGGTGAAGTTGTAAGACATAAGGCATGATTAGTTGCACAAGGATTCTCACAAAGGCCTGGTATTGATTATGAGGAGACATACTCTCCTGTGGTGGATGCGACTACTTTTAGATTTCTGATTAGTCTGGAAATAAGAGAAGGACTTGACTTACGTTTGATGGATGTAGTAATAGCTTATTTATATGGTCCACTTGATAATGACATTTATATGAAGCTCCCAGAAGGTTTTAAGCTGCCAGAAACAACAAAGTCTAGTTCTCGAGAACAATTCTGTATTAAATTAAACAAATCTCTTTATGGATTAAAACAATCTGGGCGTATGTGGTATAACCGTCTAAGTGAGTATTTGTTGAAAGAAGGTTATAAGAATGATCCTATTAGCCCATGTATTTTTATAAAGAAATTTGGATCAGGATTTGTTATAATTGCAGTGTATATATGTTGATGATTTGAATATCATTGGAACTCCTGAAGAGATTTCAGTAACCGTCGATTGTTTAAAGAAAGAATTTGAAATGAAAGATCTTGGAAAGACAAAATTTTGCTTAGGGTTACAAATAGAACACCTAGAGAATGGAATCCTTGTGCATCAATCAACATACATAGAAAAAGTTCTAAAAAGATTTTATATGGATACAGCGCATCCATTGAGCAGCCCTATGGTTGTAAGATCCCTTGATGTAGAGAAGGATCCTTTTCGACCTCGGAATAATGATGAGGAATTTCTTGGTCCTGAAGTACCATACCTTAGTGCAATTGGAGCATTACTGTACCTTGCAAGTCATACACGACCCGACATATCATTTTCAGTTAATTTATTGGCAAGATTTAGTTCATGTCCAACCCGAAGGCATTGGAATGGGATTAAACATATACTTCGTTACCTCCAAGGTATGAAGGATATGGGTTTATTTTTCCCTAAATTGTCCAAAGAAAATTTGGTTGGTTTTGCAGATGCAGGTTATTTGTCTGATCCACATAATGCTCGATCACAAACTGGATATGTGTTCACATACGGTGGTACTGCCATTTCTTGGCGTTCCATGAAACAAACCATTGCAGCTAATTAGGGGATTTTTCCCTACCAATCATCATCTGACAAGTGGACCAATCATGGCCTACCATGTGTCGGCCACATGGGCTAATAGGAGTTTGCCACGTGTCAGGCGTTGATATGTCCACCATGGACCAGTTGTGTCACGCCACGTGACCTCCGTATGCCAAGCAGGCCACCTAGGCCCAAATTCCGAGGGAAGCCCAGTCAGCCCTAGGTTAACCAAAACCTAGGATTTGACACGTTTCCCAAGGTTATAAATACTCTAATTAATCCTCATTAATGAAAAAAAGGCAATTAATTACTCTGACCTAGAGAAAACCTTTACTTTTTCCGCATTTATTTCTCCTAAAACAAGTACTAACTTGACCGTCGGAGGCGGAGATCCCACCACCCGGAGTCTCCGTTGTTTTGCAGGTACAGGCGCACGGTTTCAGTCCCGGAATTGTAACTCTCTCGCAGGACATCAGAAAACCCCGAAACATTTTGGCGCCGTCTGTGGGGAGAGTACTTTCGAGATGGAATCACAGTCTGTACCGAATCCAGAAGAGAGGCGTCCAGTGGACGACCCTCAAGTCTACTCAGATCAAGATACTGAAAATGAGGTCGAGGTTGAAGCACACACGTGTAGGGTTTCGTAGTGACCCGACACTACGCGGAAGGAAACCCCCCCAAGACCCGCCCCTTAATTAAAGAAATTAACAAGCATAATAAACTTAATCAAGCAAGACTAAGAACAAGAATTATACCTTTGTTGCGTGCTTCGCTCCCGAAGAGCTCTTACTTCAAAATCCCGAAACTACGAGATCTCCGACGGATAGTACCCTCGACCCGACCCGAGCGTCCCAAGTCTTGAAGGTTAGTCAAGACCCGGACAAAACAAAACTATGAGTTTTACGAATCAAAGGTTTACACTAATTACAAGAGTTGCCTTTTTAATTCCACTCAAGGTTGTGTATTTCCCAATACCATGCCTTTGGTATTTATAGGGAAATGCACCCTTGAACTTCATTTCCAACCAATGTGGGAGAATGAATAAATTTGATAATTAATTTATTTCCAAAATAAATTAATAATTAAATTCAATCACAATGCAACAAGTGTCAAGGGGAGAGAGAAGGTTAGGTGAGGACCATGAAGAGGTGGGGGGGGGGGACCATTGCCTTGCTCCCCAAGGCTTTGCCCAAGCCTTGGTCCCCACCCCTCACAAAACCGCCTTAAGCAAGGGGTTGCTGGGCTGCTGCCAACTAGCACGCCAGCTAGCAGTGCCAGCTAGCCCAGCCAGCTAGCACCAGCCCAGCCAACAGCCTCGCATCCCCAGCCAGGCAATGCGTGCTGGCGCTGGGCGATGCTTGTGCTGCTGCTGCGTGCCAGTGCTAGGCACTGGTGCTGGCCCTCGCCTCTCTCGCACATGCTCGCATAGCCAGCATGCGTGCTGCTAGCGAGCCACGCATGCTGGCCCCTTGCCTTGCCAGCCACACGCACCACCCTTGCACATACACTCGCATCCCTCGCTGCACCTCTCGTACACGCATATGCCTCGCACGCCTTGCTAGCCCAGCCAGCAAGCCTAGGCACGCAAGGGCCCAGCATGCGTGCTGGGCGATGCTGCCAGGCATCCTCGCACTAGCACACGCCAGTGCCTAGCACTGCTATGGCTGTGCTTGATGCGAGGCACGCACACGCACATGCACATGCGCCAGTGCCTAACACTGCGATGGCTGTGCTTGGTGCGTGTGTGGCCCTGCCATGCGCACCTAAGTATCCAGGCAAGCACGTTGCTGTGCTGCGATGGTGCGCCTAGGCTGCGATGGTCAGCGATGGTGCCTAGGCATCATGCTAGGGCTGCGATAGCGCCTAGGCATGATGTTAGGGCTGCGATGGGCTGCGATTGTGTGCCTAGCACACCTAGTGTGCTTAGGCTTGCGCCTAGCCATGCTAGGTGCATGCTAGCTCGAACTAGCCTAGCATCCACATGGTTAGACCGTTGTGGTGCTACGGCTATGCTCGTACTTGTCGCTTGTGATTTTGTGACGCTCGGCCTCGACACCCTTGGCTCGACATCCGACGTCTGTATTCGTAAAACTCTGTCGACTCATTAAATCCTTTCGGATTAATTCGTCGTCTCGGATTGGTGATTCGATTGGGTTCGACCCGAAGGGTTCAGTTAAGATTAAGCTGTAACATCAATTGTACATTGATATTACTGATCGGAAGCCGCCTCCACCTAGGCATTCCGATCACTTGACCTTACTGAAGAATTTGCTCTGTAATAATTCTGAACCCTCTAACGGAAGAATACACTTGTTGGAAGGACACCATTCCTTTCAACACGGCCTCAGATGGGACCCTAAGGGCCCGACACACCCGTCACACCGAAACGAAAGAACGGGTAGATTACCAAGCTGGACCTAGCAATCCAGCCGACCCATCGCCTGAGCAACAACAGGCGGCTGAAGGATCCGCTCCCATTACAAGGAACGAACTCATGACTTTCATGAGGGTGTTCAAGGGAGAGATCCAAGAGTTGATTAATAAGAAGACGCCTGTTCCCTCCAAGGAGCAGTCGGCTAGAAAGCCTTCTCAGTCTGGAAGAAGGAAACTTGTGCAGGGTCGAGAGGCGACTCCTCACCCTAATTCTAGGAAGTGGGAACCGCCTGTGATTGACTTAACAAAGTATCGCTTTCCCTCACCAGGGAAAAGAAAGCCCATTCGTCATGTAAAAGCGGATGGGTCAAAGAAAACTTATTCAGATGCTCGACTGTTGCTAGAGCAAAAGAAGAATGACCGACTGTCAGAGTCGGCCTCTACTTCAGATTTTCAAGATAGTTTTCATAATACCTCCATGGGGTATACTCAATCAAATTATGAGAGTCAGACAGGCGGTACCTCCCGTCGGTCCGGAACTCATAACAATTAGTCGGTACCAAATGTACCATACGTACCGCAACAACAATACTTCTTGCAACCTCCTTTGTTTGGAGGGCAGGCGACCATTGGACTGGCAACTACGGTTGCTCAGACTTGGAGAACAGTCGTCCGCCTTCTCCAAGGAAATTATTGAGGCCGCCCAGCCGGCTAAGGTGAAGAATGTCTTAGTAGGCGCCTATGATGGCACCACTAATCCAGAAGATCATTAAATGGCGTTCACCAGCCTAATGTACCTCCAAGGGTTGGATGATCCCACTTGATGCAAGTGCTTCCCAGCCACTCTCAAGGGAATTGCACAACAATGGTTCGGCAACCTGCCGACTGGTTGTGTGAATAACTTCAAAACACTTGCCTACTTGTTCACCTCCAATTTTGCTATGAACATCCCTGCTAAGAAGACGACCCTTGACTTAGGGACAATTCAGCAGGGTGAGAAGGAGGGACTCCGTTCCTACATCAGGCGGTTGAACCTGATGATGATTCAAATACAAGGGTTGCCGGATGAGGTAGCCTACACTGACTTTTTCAGAGGTCTCAAGGATGGGTCGACCTTCAAGTTCGATTTGGTCCGAAAGAGGGTTGCGACTCTCCAGGAAGCATTGATTGAAGCTGAAGCCTATATACAGGCGACTGATCTATAAAACACTGGAAAACAGTCAGATGGAAGGAGATCTGACAAAAAAAGAAAGCCGACAAAAGCAGTCGGCAAATAAAGATGAGAAAAAGAGGAAAGAAGTCTGGGCGGCCGACTCATCTGGACAGCCGGCCCAGATAAAGAAGAAAGAATTCAAACTATACTCTCCCAAGTATGCGTTCAACAAGGATAGCCAAGCTATCCTCAAAGAAATCAAGAGCCGGATCTCAATCGAGAATCCGGCCCCCATGAAGGGTTCTGTAAGCAATCGGAACCAGGATAAATTCTGCCATTTTCATGAAGATGGTCATGAAACCAATGAATGTATTAGCCTTATGCGCTACCTGGACCGCCTGGCTGAAAAAGGCGACCTTGACTCCTATGTCAAGAAGTCCAAGGGGAATACTCACCCAAAGAACAAGCAGTCGGCTAAGAAGAATCACCGGCCGACCGACAGTTCTGATAATGATGACGTAGTCGTCTACACTATAGCCGACGGCTTCTCAGAAGCCGCCCCCACTATAAGGGGCAACAAAGACAATATCAGGCGGCTAGATGTTAATTCCGTTCACCAAGGACGGACCGCCAAGAGTTCATTCCCAGAAATTGTCATCACAGAAGAGGATCTAGGAGGTGTTAAGGGGCCGCATGATGACCCCATTGTCATTGAATGTAAGGTGGCCAACCAAAGAGTTGGCCGAATCCTCATAGATACTGGTAGTTCTTCTGATCTCATCAGCAACAAGTGCTTGGCAAAGCTCAAGTACAAAACTGATTGCATACATCCGGTATCTCACCCTTTAGTAGGGTTTGGAGGAAGTGTTGTACACCCAGTGGGACGAGTGGATCTGCCCATCCGCCTGGGTGAGAAAGGGGAGGGTCATCACATGGTGGTTCGGTTCTTGGTAGTTGAAAAACTGTCTGCCTACAATATAATATTGGGACGGCCCACCCTGAATAACTCTAAAGCTGTCATTATACCCTCTCTTATGCTGCTCAAATTCGAGAGGGATGATGGAACAGTCGGCTCCCTAAGGGGAGATCAAAAGATGGCACGAGAGTGTTACCTCTCGGATATCAAACCCACTGTGGCGGCTGCTGGCCCAAGTGGTGAAAGAACTGACCTTGAACTCATCAAGGAGGATGCGCCTACTCAAATGGCAGGCGGCAAGAAAAGGAAGGCTACCCAATTGGGGGACGAGAGAAAAGAAAAAAGATAGCAATCACTGGCAAAGGAGTGGTCGGACGAATTCCGCCCTCAGCCGGCTGGCGACCACACGGATGTTGTCTTGGACGACTCACCTCCTGACCGAACAGTCAAGGTTGGGACGACTGCTCTTGGAGTTTTAGGTGAGGATTTTCACCAAGTGTTGAAGGAATTCAAAGATATTTTCGCATTCGAAGTTCATTAAATGCCAGGCATCAGCCCTAACCTGGCTGTACATAAATTG